CCTCTTTTGGGGAGGAACCTCCCATCTGCTGCTGCCTTTTGCTGTCATTTGCCGGTTATGGTCAAGGGCAAAACAGGCGCAGCAAAGGGAAAAAATCAATTTAATTTGTCATAATTCTAAATAGAGTAGGATAATGAGATGTGAAACCAAATCTTAAAAACACCTTTCACCACTCCCTCCCTGCTTCCCCAACTCAGCCTAACTCCCAATTTCTCTACCACCTCCCCTCATGCAGTGTAGGGGAACAGGGAATGGGGGTTGTGGTCAGTTCATCACACATTGTCTCAGCTGCTCTTTCCTCTTCAGGAGGTGGGACTCCTCACACTCTTCCCTGCTCCAGCATGGGGTCCCTCCCACAGGAGAGAGTCCTCTATGAACTTCTGAGAAGCAGCTGTCCAGATAGAGTGGATCCAAAGGGCTGCAGGATGGGCATGTCCCAGGAGGGATGGGGCCAACTGCACATCCCAGAATGGGGACGAGCACCAGCACCCACAGAGGGGTCACAGACCAACACAGAGGTCCAGTTAGGTGAGACTGCTGCCTGGTGGATGGGAAGGAGGGGGAGGAACAACACAAATTGTTGCACTAGGAGAACAAGTGTTCTCAGATGTGCTTCCTCAGGGCTGCCAAGGCTGGCATTGGGGAGTCCCAGCTCCTCTGTGATGATTCCTAAGGACCAGCCCTCTGTTTCCCCATATCCCAGCCCTGCACCTTTCCATTTCTCAACCAGCAGCAGCCAAACAGGATTAAGCTCCCTTAATAACTGTAGCAGTGATCTGGACAAGCAGATTGTGTGCTCCCTCAGTCAGTGTGCAGATCAAACAGGAGTGCTGGATGTGGTTGTCAGCAGGAGTGTTGACGTGCCTGAGGGTGGGAAGGCTCTGCAGAGGGACCTGGACAGGCTGGGTCGATGGGCCAAGGCCAATTGTATGAGGGTCAGCAAGGCCAAGTGCTGGGTCCTGCACTGGGGGTCACAACCACCCCAGGCAGCACTACAGGCTTGGGGAAGAGTGGCTGAAAAGCTGCCCAGAGGAAAAGGACGTGGGGGTTGTTCTGGTTTGGTTTGGTGGGTTTTTCGGTAGCAGGGGAAGGGCCCCACAAGTGGCCCCAGTCAGAAGCTGAGAAGCTCCCCCTGCTCTAAAATGGAGGAGAGAGCTGTGCTGGGGAAGGAGAGCAGTGCTGTTGGCTGGTGAGGAAGAAGGGGAAGAAGGTGCCCAAGCAGGAGTTTCCCTGCAACTCATGGTGAGATGGCAGCTGTGCCCCTGCACTCATGGAGGAACGTGGTGGAACATTCCCTGAAGGCACCAGGAGGGGTGAACTTGGCCACTAGGCTTGGATTTTGTGGCCAGAGGATTTGCTGCCTGTGGACTCTGATTGTGCAGCTTTGGAAGACCCCAGCGCCTGGGGAGTTTGTTCCCAAACCAGCCCGTGACTCTGTGGGAAGCCCAGGCTGGAGCAGCTCCGGACCTCGTGGGAAGGACTCATGAAAGAGAGGTTCATGGAGGACTCTCTCCCATGGGAGGGACCCCGTGGGGAAGCAGGGAAGGTCTGTAAGGAATCCTTCTCTCTGAGGAGGAAGGAGCAGCAGGAACCACCAGCCTGTGAACTGACCCTAAACCCCATCCCCATCCCCCTGTGCCGCTGGGGGGAAGGAGGGAGAGAAACCGGGAACAAAGGGATTTGGGGCTGGGAAGAAGGGAGGGGTGGGGTAACATCTGCAAGCCCTGCTCTGTGTGTGTCTGTGTCCTGTGTGTGTGTGATTAGTGTGAAATTAAAGGATTATTTTTCCCCAAGTTGAGTCTGTTTTGCCTGGGTCCTTAATTGATGAAGAGCCCTCCTTGTCCCTTGTGTCAACCCATGAGCTTCTAGTTGGGTTTGTCCTCCCCACCCCAGTGTGTGTGCGGGAGGGAGGGGAGTTGAGTGAGCAGCCATGTGGCTGTTCCTTTTGTTGTCGTGTTGGGCCCAACCCACGACTGGGGTGTTGGTTGACAGGGGCTGATTATGAGCCAGCACGTGCCCAGGTGACCAAGAAGGCCAACAGCATCCTGGCTTGTGTCAGGAACAGTGTGGCCAGCAGGAGTAGGTGTGCTGGCTCTCAGACCTGCTTCCTCAGGGCTGCCAGGGCTGGAAATGCCTATTCCCAGCTCCTCCATGAAGATTCCTAGGGACAGGGCTTTCACACATACAATGGGCAGGAACCACGACAAGGTGGGGACTGTCTCGAGGCAGAGAGCCCCTGCAAACCAGAAGGATTTATTGGTTGTTCAGAGACAGCAGCAGAGCTGTGAGGGACAAAGCACAGCTGGGACAAACAGGCAGAAGCTGGGCTCTAGATGGGTGTGGGGATACAGGGCATGGAGGGAGGGGATGTGACCCTGCTTCATTCTCAGATGACACCTACAGGCACCAGGATGGGCATGAGACAGCTTTGCCAGAGCACTGGAGGACTGCCAGAACACATCCTTGGCAGGTGGTCCCATCCTGCTCTGTGACAGAGGATGCTGCAGCTTGATGAGGGAGCAAATTTGAGGAGGAGCAATAACCCAGCACAAGCTATAGGAGCTCCTTCTTGCTGTGCTGAAGAAGCCTCAAGAGGGGGCGATGGCAAGTGCCATCAGCACTGAGCCTCGGATGCCCACCCCTTCTCCGCACCCTCACTGCTCTTCCTGTCTCCCGGGCGCTCCCGGACAGGGAGAGGCTGGGACAAGAGCTCTCCAGCCTGGCCACGTTTACCTGCAAAGACCAAGGACAGCCATGGCAGAGGCTGCTGGGCTGTGGGAACTGTGGAAACACTGGCAGGGCAGGCTGTGTCCTACCTGCATCTTCCGCTGCCAGAAGAGAACCCATGATCATGCCATAAGGATCCAAGTTCTCGTAGGTCTGGAGCTCTGCAGGGAGGACAGGACAGAGAGATCCTGAGGGATGCAGGGGCTGTGGGAGAAGGAGCAGGGCAGGCAGCAGGGGGCTGTGGGGCACCCTGGGCACACAGGGAGGGAAGGTGACACATCCATCTGCCATGACATGACCCCTCAGCAAGGCTTGTTGGGAGGGCCTCCTCTTGTGCACCCAAAGCCAAAATGATCACTTGCCCATTAGTTTCTCAAATCCATCCTCGTGCTTGAGGGACATCATTAGCTGTCTGCCACAGCCAGGGGGTTTCCCTGGGACAATCCCCTCTGTAGCCACTGACTATCTCCAGGTACTTGTTAAGACTTGCCTCCCTGCCTGGCTCAGACTGCTCTTCACATTGCTCGCTCATGGAACCAGAGCAGCTCTTGAGCCACATGGCTGCCCCATAAACTAATACACTCCATGGCCCTCTCAGTCCAGATCCAGGCACCTGCACAGCTTCTCCTTTACTAGATACCTATGCAGGGCAGTCCCATGCCACGTGAGGAGACACTTCCTTTCCCTCCGTTGGATGGGCCAACTTCCCTACAACAGGTAAGTGTATTGTATTGCAAAAGGCCTGGAAACACTGCCCCAGAAATCTCCAGGATCTAAGATATTGCCTCCAGAAACTCATCCATGCTGAGGAACTCTGTCATCCATTCCTTTAACAAAGTTGTATCCCATCATGGTGCATCATCACCAACTGCCCTGCCTGACTTCAGCAACAGGCATCTGTCCAGAACACATTTTTCCAGCAGAGACAATGAGGGTGCAGGCAGTGTTCAGGGAAGCTCTCTCTTCCTGCCCATGTTCCCTGAGTGCTGTGGTGCACATGTCTGTAGGAATGAGTTTCCAGACATTGCTGCCCTGGCTGGGGCAGGGACAGGCAGCAAGGCACAGCCTTCCCTTGCCCTCACCACTGCTGAGCAGGGCAGAGGGAAGCTGCCTCTGCAGCTTGGGCATTTGCCCTGTATCCCGTACACGATCGGAAGGTCAGGAAGCCCACTCAGCTGGGATGCTCATGGCAAGAGGACACTCGGAGCCAGGCTCCACCTCCAGAGGAAGAGCAGAAGGCCCAGCTCTGCTCTGGCAGGCACAGCCAGGGGCTGGAGCGATGCAGCTGCTCTGGGGACAGGCCGTGCAGCCCTCCAGGCAGGGCTCTCCCAGCCCCACGAACCCTGCACAGGGCTCTCAGGGTGACCACCCTCCCGGGCTCTCTGGGTGGGACAGCGTGGCTGCACACACGGCTCTGGGAGCTGCTCCCAGGGGGGCACCTCAGCCCCACGCGGGGCAGAGCAACCATTACCTGAGATGTAGCTCTGAAATTCCAGGACGGCTGCAGGGCCAGCACCAGCTGCCGTCAGGCCCTGCACTGTCACCACGTAGGTGCTTCCAGCTGCCTGAGCAGGCGGCGTGTACTGGGTGACAGACTGGTTCACTGTCACCTGCTGGAAATCAAGGAAGCTGCTGTCCTGTGCTCTCCTGGCTGTGATGTTCAGCTGCAGGAAGGACAGGGAGCAGGGGGTGAGCAGCACCCACCTCCCGCTCCTGCTGGGGCCAGCTGTGGGCAGAGGGGCTGTCACCAGGGACAGCTGGGGACAGCAGGGGCCCGGAGCCCAGCACAGACACCAGCCGTGTAGAGCTGCTGGGCCCTGGCACCCACACCTCCCCCCAGGCTGCTGGCACAGAGCTCCGTGCAGGGAGCCTGGAGAGGGGAGGCAGCCCCAGGGAGCCCCTGGTTCCCAGGTACCTGGTATCCAAGGATCTCCCCTTTGCAGGAGGGCAGCGCCTTCCACCCGAGGGACCCTGTGCTGGGATCCAGCTGCAAGTCCTCGGGTGCATCTGGCACTGGAAGCACAGGAGAACAGGGTCACACGTGAGGCCAGGGAGGCTTTGTCCCCCAAAAGCCTGAATGTGCCGCAGCAGGAGCAGCGGTGCAGTGAGGAAGAGGAGAGCGAGGCCTGGACGTGCTGTGCTCCAGCTCCTGCACAGCCCCTTCCACTGAGCAGCCAGGGGCTCCAAACAGCCCTGATCTAGGAACATCCCTGCAGGGAGCAGATGCTCAGGCTGGGTGGCCAGGCAAAGGGGACATTGGCTTTAATGTAGGAGGACACATACCTGTTTCCTTTGTCCTGTAGATGCGTGTGAAGAGGATTGTGCTGGGGGGCAGGGAGATGGTGACACTGTAATGAGTGAAGGGCTGCAGGGGGGGGCAGGTAAATGTTCCTTTCCAGCCGTGTAGCCTCTCCTCTCCCTTCACCTCCTCAGCTTCACAGGGAGAGGAGTACTCATCTTCCAGTCGGCACTTGGCCCAAATATCCTGGCAGGTGTCAGGGAGCCTGCAGGTCCAGTTCAGCTTGATGCTGGTGCTGGAAATCTCCAAGGTTCCAGGGACAACCTGGAGAACATCTGTGAAGGAAATTGTGCAAGAGGGTTGCTCCCTTTCCTTCCCCTCCCAGCCTTGCATAGAACCACCGCCATCCCCACAGGTCTCTCCTTAGCTGACCCCCAGCACAAAGTTGATGTTGATGAGGCCATCCCACCTTTTTCCTGACTACACCCAGGCACTGCCTGCTCCTTCCTCTGACCCTGGGCTATTCCCAGGGATGCAGAAACTGTGGGAAGGTAACAGAATGCACTTGTGGCCTCTGTTCCTGCCAGCCCTGGGCCTTTCAACCCATCTACTGGACTGGTGCCCTTCAGACCAACAATGACTTAGCCAAAAAACCCAGGAACTAGAACTGCTCTCCTGCTCCTGCCCTACCCTGCTATTCTCCAGGCAGCCCCACCTGGCTGGGCTGGGCACACTGCCTGTGTCCTTATGGATGATGGCAAGGAGTTGTGCCCCCTGGTGCTCTGCAAGGTGCCCCAGCTGCCAGCAGTACAGACACAAACCTGGGAGGCATCAGCAGCAGTTTTCTCTGGACATAAGGCCCATGCCCTGCCCTGCCCGCCCCAAGCACAGGGCACTGATGGTGTGGGACACATACGGCACCACTGCCCCTGCCGGGGAAGAACAGGCTGAGAGTGGCTGGTTCACTCACCCAGACAGGTCAAGTTCCTCTCCATACGTTGCCATTCGCCCGTGCCCTGCCTCATAAGCCAGCCACTGTGAGGAATCCTGGAGCCTTCCTCTGGGTCCAGCTTCACACACTTGATCTCCATGGGGGGAGGCCAGTACCCCTCAGGGCATTTCATCTTCACCACTTCATTTGGGTAGAAGGTCCTCCGTTCTTGGCTGAAGATAAACCTGGGTTCCCACTGGGGCTTCTGGCATGTCTCTGCATCAGGAAGGTGGGAAGACATCAGGGTGGACAAACAGACCTGTGTAATCTAGGGTGGCACCTGAAGGGGCCGCAAGGACCAGGACACCTCTGTGGACATGTCTTCACTAGCCCTGGATCCTGCCCCAGGCCCTGGCACCTTCTGCAGAGCCCCATCCTTGGCACCTCCACCAGGAGCCTCCCCCCAGCCCTGATGGCAGCAGGAGCCCTGCACACCCAGCGCTCTGCCCTGGCCTGCCAAGGGCAGCTCCGGCCACTGCCCCCACCCTGATCCCACAGCCCCCTCCTGCCAGGACCCTCAGGGGCTGTGGCACCAGAGCCCTCCCCAGCACGGCTCTCCTGGAGCCTGGGGCAGGCACAGGGCAGGCTCAGGGGCTGCCTCCACACTGCCTTCAGCAGCACCTGCTGTGTCCCCAGGCAGGCAGAGCCCAGAGCCTCCTGTGCACACACAGCCTGCTGCTTCCCCTGTTCCGGGGGGGCAGCCAGGAGAGCTCCTCATGCCTCCCTTACCCAGGCACTCCACACGGTACATGGGGTCAATGTTGATCCACACGTCACTGCCATTCTTTCCATTCCAAGCTTCTCTGTATACACGATTCCCGTTGCTGATTGTCTGAATTTTGCCTGCACATTTGACACGGCTTAAGGATGGCTGGAAACCAGCAGGGCAGCGCAGCAGCACTTCATCATTCTTCTTGTAATTCTCCTGGTCTGGAGTCAGCTGGAGTCCTGGGCCCCAATCAGGTCTTTTGCATGTGTCTGGCAGAAGTGAGAGTGAATATTAGATGGGGCTGGACTTTTCAAGAAGGTTGAGGGGTGGATGGTGGGTTATCACTCATCCCAGCAATCCCTCCAGTCCCTGAAGGGAGAGACAAGGTGACATGTTCATCTCCTATGACATGACTCTTCAGCAAGGCTTGTTGAGAGGCAACTTTTCTAGTGGGTGAGTGTCAGCCAGGGCTCGGCCTGTTCCTGGACCCAGGTGGGGCTGAAACACAAGCACGTCACACAGGGTCTGACACCAGGGTCGGGCAATGCAGGGCTCTGCTTACCCTTGGAGATGCCAGTCTGCTTCCACCAGGTCTGTGTCCCATGGCAAATGCAGCTGATATGGGGAACCAATGGCACATACACCCCCGCACAGCTCAGCTGCACCAGCGTTCATAGCTGCTCTGGTTTGAGCTCAGCTGCAGCTTGCGGTCACAGTCAGAGGGAGCTTTACACCCTCCTGTGTGCACAGGACCTGAGGGAGAGTCCTCAGGATCACTGGGTTCTGGCAGTGCTCTTGGGGGGAGGAAGACCCAGCCAGGTGGGTGCTGGATGCCCTCACTTCAGAGGGGTAGCAGAGACGAGCACCTGACAGGATAAGGCCCCAGACCGCAGGTGCGTGAACCCTCCCTGCACCCTCAGGTGCAGCACAGCAGTGTTACCCACCTGCTCACCCACGCACTGCCAACGGATCCCAGACAGCAGGATCCAGCAGCCCAGGGGATGCTGCTCCCTCCTGCACTCTTCCTCAAATACAAGTGCTGCAGGAGAGCACACCAACCCCTGGGCCTGCGCTGGCACTGCACACCCTCCTCACCTGGCCCCACGAGGCAGCTGGCAGCACTGACAGCCTGCCCTCACACCTCCACATCCATGTTCACGGCACCCCCAAAAAGCTCACACCCCAATCCCTGCAACCAGCCTTTTCTTGGCACTTCACCCGGAATGAGCCTGACTTGGCCTGCCCTGATAGATGTGTCACCTGGACTGGCTCACTCAGTGCAAACCAAGTCTGTGAGGAGGCACCGGGGTATGAGGTGGCCTCCCATAAAACACTCTGAAACACCTCTTGTCAGCTACACACATCTCTGCAGCTGCCCGCTTCCTGCCAGCCAGCACTCGTGGGGCTGCACACCCTTACACTGGAACATGGGCATCACCACACTTCCCTTATCTGGTAGCAGGTTTTCATGCCATCATCTCAACCCTGCATCCTGGTCCTTCACCACAAAGGACCTTGGCCACTACCTCCATCCTTTGAGACCACCTGTCTTGTCCAGACAGGAAACTTCTTCCCCGCAGCGGATCCCTCCCAGCACCCTCAGATCACACACTTCACTGCAACGGCTTTAACAGACCTCAGTCCACGCCTAGTTAGGCATCCCCAGCACACACCTTCTTCCTCCCGCCTGCCGTTAAACTCCCCTGAAGCTGTGCACACATTTTCACATTCCTGCCCCAGGATGACATCCAGGATCCTTCCTCTCCCATCAAAGCCTGGGGCTACCTGCCCAGCACCAAGCGTTTGACCAGGCACAAGAGCCAGCAGGGAGCAGAGGGAAAATGAACCACCACGCTTCCAAGAGGGAACTTCCACTCATGGGCAGGAATTTTTTTTTTCCTATTTGTATTGTCAGGAAACACGGCTGGCTGTCCCCAAGGTGTTCCACAATCTGAAAGGCTAGGCAGAAACACCTTCAGACAAAAGGAGGACAGGGGATGCAGCAAGAGCACAGCCTGGCTCAGTCAAGAGGCTGACCATGACCTGCAAGGCAAGAGGACACAGTCACAAGCAGGCTGCAGTCCTGAGGGAGCAGAAATCAGCAAGACGAGCCAGTGGTGAGGTAACAGCTGGCAAGGCCAAGGCACAAGAGCAGACGTAGCAAGTGGCAGCAATGGGAGCTCAAGTCTCACTTCTGCTGGCCTCAGTGAGCAGAGGAAAGTGCAAAACTGGGCCATGGGCACTGTCAGCAAGTAATACAGCCTTGGTTGTCTGGTCTAGAAAATGTATGTGGGTCATTTAGATGTTGATGGCCATCTCAGAACAGCAAGGGCACAGGACACAGAGAGAAAGGGAAAAAAGCACACAGCAGACATGATTCCCTGATGATCCTTGAAGCGCAGCAAAAGCCCTTGTAGGGGCTCAGCTTGGTGCCAGGGCTTTTCCTCTTGGTGCAGCTGAAGGCAAGCTCTGCCCTTGCCTGCAGCTCTCTTGGGCTACCCACAATCCAGATTCCAGTGGCCTCCTTCAGTGCTGCAGATGCCAGCAGCATGGCAGAGGGTAACAGTCAGAACCTCAACTCCATGCCTCACACCTCTTCTGCAAACACAGATCCAAGAAGTCTGCCCCTGCTCTTTAAAGCCAGTGTCTCTGCCAAGCCCATCACAGCTCCCTCCAGCTGGGACTCCTCAGGACGAGGAGGGGAGAGCCATGACTATTCACAGGGCTTCTTAGGAGTGGGATGAGGGCAGTGAGAGGAAAGGGCAGGAGCTGCTGCTGAGTCAAGGGCAAAAGGCTTCATCCTTCCATAGATAGCTGAGGGCTGCCCATTGCTGGAAGAGCAGCATCCCTCCAGCCACCAGGGATGGGCAAGATGACTCACAACCCATCTGATGACTCGGCAAGCCACTTCTGCTCCCATTTCCCTGTTGAGACAATGAGTCACACCTCAGGACCCCTAGTCCCCACTGCAAAGAGCAGACACTTGAGCTGTGCCCCATGGGGACCTCAACAGGTACCCATAAGCCCAGGGCATAGTACACAGTCTCCATAGGAAAACCCACAGTCCCCGGAGGAAGAGCCCAGCAGAGATCCAGGAGGTGCTCCTTGCCCTCCTGGCTTGGAGAAAGACCAGAACAATGCTGTTCAAGAGCAGTCCCACCAAACAGCTCCTCTGGCCATGAGAAATACCAGACAGAGCAGGTGTCCAAGCTAACAGAGGGATTAATCTCACAGCTCCCCATGTCTTTGCTGCACAGCAGCACTGCCTTCCCCCGCCACAGGGATGCTGCCCAGATTGCCCTAGGAAGGCCACCACTGCTCTGATTGCCCTGCTTCATCAATCCACCATGCAACAAGAACCAGCCACCTCTTGCTCCCAGGGACACTGCCCAATCCAAGGAGGGACATTGCAGCTCCTGTGCTCATGGGGGCTTTGACATCACACTGAGGACTGATGTTGTCTATCCCCAAACAGAGCTTTGCCCCACCACAGCCTAATGGATGCCCGAGCATCTCAGGACTGATGCAGACACCAGCTTCAGCCCTCCCCAGCACAGCTTTTCTGGGCCAAAGAGGGTAAGGCTGTGTAGGAAATGTGCAAGCAGAAGAGCATCAAAACCTTTTCTGCAGGAGAGAAGCACAACCCAGTCTTACCTGCTTCTTCAGCTCCCCTCTCATTCCTGGAATCAGAGTCCTTCCGTCCCCTTGCAAACAACAGAGCGGCAAGGACCAGGAGAAAGGCCAGAGCCAACCCTCTCAAGGCCATGCTGGCACAAAGTCCTTGGGAAGGACTCTCTCTGAGCCACTTGGGAAAGGTATCTGCACAACCCCGTGCAGAAGAGGTGCTGGCACAGAAATGAAACAGCTACATAGAAAAATCACACACGGTGCAAAAAGCTTCCTCTTTAGAAAGAGAGAGTTCCACCAGTCCCAGGGCTGCTCCTCACCCATCTACCCACAAGCAGCAGATTCAGGCTTGATAGGGTCTCCTGCGTGCCTCAGTCAAGCCTTTTTACCCGCTACCTGGAGGAAGCACTCAGGGTGGTGGGCATTCTGGCTTGCAGCCCAGAAAGTTAACTGTGTTAGGACTGCATCAAAAGGAGCAAGGCCAGCAGGTTGAGAGAGGGGATTTCGCCCCACTGCTCTGTTCAGACCATTCAGCTCTGGAGCTCCCAACACAAGAATCACATGCAGGTCCTTGAGAAATTCCAGAGGAGGGCCATGAAGATGATCAAAGGACTGGAGCACCATTGCTGTGGAGACAGGCTGAGGCAGCTGGGGTTGTTCAGCCTGGAGAAGGCTCCAAGAGGTTGACAGGATGAAGTGAAATGGTTTCAAACTAGGAGAGGATATATTTAGATTAAATATTAGGAAGAAATTACTTCCTGTGAGGGTGGTGAGAGCTGAGATGCCCAGAGGAGTTGTGGCTGCCTCATCCCTGGAAATGTTCAAGCCCAGCCTGGATGGAGCTTGGAGCAACCTGGTGGAAGGTGTCCCTGCCCATGCAGGGGGTTTGGAAATTACCACAGAATTACAGAATCGTCATGGTTGAAAAGGACCTCCAAGATCACCAAATCCAGCTCTCAACACAAAACAAAACAACAAAAAAAGAACAACCAACGAGCCAAACAAAAAACCCCAAACCAACAACAACAAAACACAGCACAAAGAAAAAAACACAAAACCCCACAACCTTGGCCACTAAAGCACGTCTTAAAGTACCCAGTCTACACAGCTTTTTAATACCTCTAGAGATGGTGACTCAAGCAGATCCCTGGGAAGCCTGTCAGAAACACCCCAGGAAGGAAGGCAGAGAGGAGAGGGGAAGGTGGTGCCCAACGCTCAGATTCCTTAAGGGGTCATGCAAATGTTTGGATGTGTGTGGGAAGGATTGATTAGGGAGGAAGATCTGAGAACTAACAGTCCTTACTTTTGACCCTGAGAAGATCTAGGATTAAAATACTATTCTGGCCTCCATGACCACCAACACAATTGCAGTGCCACGTGGGGTGGCACCGAGTGCTCTGAGCCCTCCCCTTGCAGAGATGGGAAGCAATCCTTCCTCCTCCACTGGTTTGTCCCTGGGCACCGCTGGAAGTGGTGAGGGAGCTGCAGGGAACCGGCAAACCGGGGCGCCCCAGCCACAGAGGCAACCCAGAATGGCAGGGCAGCCTGTCAGGGCTGCTCTTTATAGCTGGCTGCAACCTAGTCCTGGCTCTCAGGTTGGCTCTTCTCTCTCTCTCCCCTGAGCTGTTATCCAATTAGGACA